ACAGTTTATATTCAATTTGCTCAAAATACATAATCAATGCTTACTTTTTCCAAGTTAACTAATTTCAATCACAAAGGTCCAATTGCATGCATTCTTTGAATCATAAATCATCATTAACATCCTAGAATATGCCTATTGCCCTTTCATCATATTACATACTTCAATATTACACAAGATCCAAATATTACAATTAGAATTCTCCAATGTAAATCATAAGGCCATAAATTCTCCAAATACAACATAATGAAATAAACCTCAAAATGAAACATAATAAATATGCAACTAGACTTAGGCAAAAGATGACATGAACAAATATGACAATAAACATCATCCTAAATCCATATACAATGTCCATGCTATAAGTCTAGCCTAGGCCCCCAGCCACCAAAATGCAAAAGAAATAGAAGTCCTCCAGCTCAACCTACGGGCTTCTTGCCCGCCGCCTCGATATCACTGCTACCTCCTGAAATAAAGTCCCCAAAGCGGGGTGAGATATACGAATATATCTCAGTAACCCAGAGATTCTGGAGAATACTCCGCCCAATGGCTCACATCGATGCATATAAATAATATAACATAACATTCGAAAACGGGATAAAACAAGGGATTTAGTGAAGTAAGGAAGCATGGGGAAACAAAATACGACGAAGCTGGAATGGTCAATGACAAAACCACGCAACGTCCAGCCTATTGGCCTCGGAATATAGCCTACGGGTTTTAAACCAAGGAGTGTTCTCAGAACATCAACCAAGGCACCCTCCATCCATAACCACCCGAGACTTCCTAGTGTGCTCCTATCCGGATAACACACCACGACCCCAGGTCAATTGGAACTCCCTCACAGAGACCTATCCAGTGGAAGTCTGTAACGCCCGAAGGCAACAGTCTACTGGCCAGAGACACGGTACATCCTATGTACCACAACACATACAATATGCATGAACATGTTATCCTATATTATTTACATACATTTCCTACCATTACCCTCAACGGGCATGGTGGAACACACACGGGGATCAAACCCCAGTACCAAGAGATTACCTGTATAATCACCTTCTCACAGCTCCAAAGCAATAAATCCCCGAGCTAGATACAACAGAAATGCCTACACAAAGGACATTCCCAATTTACTTTCCATTCACCAACACATGCAAATTATCAAGCACATATGCATGGTTCCAAAATACTTACCACAATCCCTTTTGGTCCGAGACCAAGGGCAACCCACCGAGCTCACGGTTCAGGGTTCAAATTCGCGGGAGGCAACCTACAATGACAATACACGGATCATCAACACACGGTGAATCCACCAAATTCACAAAACATCAAAATCCTTCCCCCACCAATGTGAGGTTCGACCATTATAGTGTAAAATTACAAAATATTTTCATACATTTTCTTTTTATTTTTCTTTAGCATCCTAATAAGGCTACCGCAATGTCATTTAGGTGCCACATTACATCCTACATCATCACAACCTCATTTTGCCATTTATTTCCTTCTAGGTTCAATTGCACATTCCAACATATTTCAAATATTTTTCCATTTATTTTCCATGCACACATTAACCTCCCAACACCTCAAAATACCATTTAACACTACACAATATCAATTACACAATTTTTGCATCATCACACCCTACATTCCCCTGAATGGCCGAATTGTACATGGACCTACACCAAGGATTATTCAATTCAATCCAACCACTCCACACATCATACAATCCTATTATTAACTCATACAACCATCCAACAACTCAATTACACAATCACATAACCAATCAAATTTCACAAGTTCATGGCATCACACTCAAAATCTACTAAGTTATCATCAATTTTTCCCAATAATTTTTATTGCATTTATCACTCTATAATATCATTCTAAGTCACTTTCATCTAATACACAATCTCATTTTGAGCTCTCTAACTCCATAAATCAAGCAAATCAAGTCTAGGGTTCATGAATTTCAATCCAACAAATCAACCAATGAAAAGTGTGGAAACTTACCCACAATCAAGGCCTAGGACTCCTCCACACAATACCCAAGCAATGGAGGATCAAATGACTCCAAGAACATCAACTTTCTCCACCAAGGCCGTGGACAAGGGAGTGGTTTTTCTCCCAATCTAGTGAGTTTCAAGGGTTGGGAATACCATGGTTGGGTTTAGAAGGCAATTTACTTGAAGATTGGTGTGAAACTTTGTTGATTTTGGTGGTTGGATGATAAAGTTACAAGTTTCACAAATTTTCCCCCTTTTTCCAATGGAACTCGCGGCCTAGGAGAGAGACAAGGTGGAGAAGAACATGAATAGTGACTTTTCCATGTTGTCATCTTATAACTTAAGTGGGGTGGGTCCCACCGCCATCTCACGCGATTCAAATTAATTCGAAACTCCCTCCGATTCCATTAAACGTTCATAATCTCATAACCTATTTAGAAACTCTAATGTTTTACATTAACCATTGTCCTTTAATTTCCCTTGATCAGATGAATCCAGAGTTTTCTGGTCGTTCGGAGAAATTGCAGTTTTAAGCTGTTACGTGCGCCGTAGGCACGCTTCCCCAAACTCACTAATTTCCGTCAAATTTCATCAGAAATCATATTTCCTAATCCTATATACCATTTACAACTTGTATCCAAACTTAGAGCTCAAAATTCAATCGACACGTTTTACGGTGCAACCGTACTGCAGTATTTTTACCCGGTAAAACACTATTCACTGAATTTTCTGAAACTTGCCTAACCACTCAATTTTTCGTTCTGAATCCATTTCCAGGGTTATTTTTATCATTCGAGACCTCCTACTCAATTTTACCCTGCTAGGGTTACGCGTTTGGCTAAATATCGTTTTACCCTTCCTTTGTATTTTGACCTAATCTTCAGAATTTCACTAATCATTCCCTTTAATCCATGTTTAATATATTAATATATAATTTAGAAATGTGAGGTGTTATACTAAAGGAGGACTTGTGTTAGGAATGGACAGGATAAGATAGCATATGTCACATTTCTCTTATTTCAAATATAGCCCAATGCTCACTCACCACTATCACAATTGCTATTGCCACCACCCCTAACCACCAAGCACCAACCGTCATCGCCTCCACTAACACCATCCACCGCCATCAATTAGCCACTATAATTGCCACCTGTCAGTGTCAGCGTCGCTCGACCACCGCGACCACCGATTTCACCAACCACCCTCACCTGCCATCATCGCATCTACAACTACCACCATCGTTGTCGTTGCCACTGGCCACCTACACCCTAACCACCAAGCACAAACCATCATCGCTATCAATCAATCACCATAATTGTCATCGATTATTACTAGCGCTATCATCACAACCAATTGCCACATTCCCCCACAACTAATACCACCACCAAGCACAACCCATCGCACCAATTGCCGCCGCCGCCACCCAGCACTGTCACTAGCCACCAGCCATCAATATTGACAATCAAATTAAAACAATTTTTAAAAATTTATTTGGTGAGGATATAATTTATAATATTTTAAAAAAAATTGAAAGTTATTTATGTATTTTAATATATATTATTTAAAATTATGACTTTGACATTTTTTTAATAATTTAAAATAAGAAATAATGTGTAGATAAGAAAAAAAAGCAGTTTAAAAATCAATTTTAAAATATCATATGAAATTCTATTAAAGGGGTAATTCTGTCTATTATTATCATATCATGACACTATACGGTTCACCTCAAACACCAGATAGGATAATATTATCCTATCAGACTGCTTATCTAGTACACATCAAACACATGATAAAATATGAGTTTATCAGGCTCATACCTTATCCTACTCTTATCCATCCCTTTTTTCCTATCCATTCATATCTTATCATGTCCATCAAATAAGCACTAAAAGTTTATGTTAAGGCGGGACATTTTGTTGTTTAAAGGTTATGATGATGTATAACTTGAGCGTGAGGAGTGAAACTTCTAATGTATTATTCAATGTGATTGGAAGAACCATTATTATTTATGAACAAATCAATGATGATGAGTAGGGTATAAATGGGTTACGCAGGCCTACAGAGGCCTACGACCTAGCCTATATTGAAGCAGACTTGACCTATAGCAAAAAGTCAAATAGAACATGCCTAAATTTAAAAAAAAATATATTTAGAAAGCAAGCTATATGCTTTTTTGTACATGTTGGGCCTATAAGCCTATAGGCCGACCTATATCATATTATTTATTTTAAATAAAATAAATAAATTATTTTTTAATAATTTTGAATAATAAAGTAATATTATTTTAGTTATTTTTTTAATTATGGAATATTTAATAGGCTTAAATAGGCTAACCGACCAAGTCAAGACTGCTATCTTTTAAATACAGACCAGACTAGACTTGTAATTTGGGCCTACACATGCTAATAGGCTAGCCCAGGCTCAAGGTTTTATACTCAGGCCTAACTTATTTAAGTCAAAGCCTAGCCTAGCCTATTCACAAACCTAATTATAAGAGATGAGAGTGAAAAAAATATTAGAATAGGAAATGAGAAAATTATCATTGTTAATTTATTAATAAATAATTAAGATCCTAAAATATAATAGAATCCTATTAAATTAAGGTTTAATATTTCTCATGTTATAGAAGATAAATTTTTTTCTATACACACATAAAAGTGTGTGGAGCTCATGATTTGTCTTTTTCTCTCTTCTCCTCCTATGAGCATATATATATATATATATATATATATATATATATAAGAGATAAATTATATCTCATACGAAAAACATTTAATCCATTAAATTAACATATGAGAAACCATTTTAATATCGTGTCGTAGAGAAAGTTTAAAAGGTTGGTTTGCTAAAATACGTAACAGGCTATAGCCCAATTAAAATTTCTATTAGCCCAATTTACCCCTAAGTGCAACCCAATAGCAATAGGCCTGAAAATTGTTATTAGAATTCCGAAAAAAATAGAGCTTCCGGTTGCCGGTTTAAGCGGTGCCAGTGAATAAACCTCCCCCTCTCCTACCTAGGTTTCCTCCAATTCACAATTCACACGTTGAGAGAGAGAGAGAGAGAAAGAGAGAGAGCAAAACGATGGGGGGAGAAGAGAAACGGCACCAGATGATGCAGAACCTCTTCGGCGATCAATCGGAGGACGAGGAAGAAGTGCTTGATTCTGAGCACGAATCCAATCCCCAACTCAATTACGCTTCTGTATGATCCATTTTACAATTTCGTTCATCACAACTCAACACAACACCTTCCCTCATTCCAATTTATATGAAGTTGTTTGCTCTCTGCATTTTGAAGCCTGTATTTACATTGCATGTTTAGTTTGAATCTTTTTTTTTTTTTTTTAAATTTTTTTAATTTTTTTTTTTTAAATTTTTTTGAGGTGGAGCAGCATGGGGAGGGGGAGGGGGAATGGGAAGGTGAAGGGGAAGTGGAGGGACACGGAGAGAGTGAAGGTGATGGTGTTGGTGATGCAGAAAGTGAAGGTGAGAGAGAACAAAGTTCCCTAGAGGTGGAAGGTGAAGGTGAAGGTGAAGGGGAAGTTGATCAAAGAGAAGAGAGTGAGGGGAGGGACATAGACAGTGATGGCAGAGACGATGACTATAATCAGAGAGTCGTTACTAGCAAGCGTAGGGATGTGGTTGAGAGTGGATCCGAGGAGAACCAGAACCATTATCCTGACAATGATGATGATGAGGAAGTTGACGAAGCTAGAAGCCCCAGGTATCCCCACCATGTCAGAATTTAACTAATGGAGATAATTTTTATGCTTTTACTGTTCCACATTTTTGGTCCTCTTTCTTTGTGTTTAAGTAATTATTATTTTTCTCTTGCTAGTGTAGCCTTTCTTAATTCTCACGCTCTTGTATGAATATATTATTATCTTAGTGCTGTCTACCTTTCTTCTGCTTAGCTAAGTTAATGCTCCAATGCTCTTGATTAATGATGCTACTACACTGGCTGGTTATTGGAGAAGCTAGCAGGCTCACTGGAATGGCTAACATTTTAGGTTTTGTCAGTGCATTAGATTTCAGCGGTTAACCGATGATTTGAAATGAGTGTGTCTATGTCTGGAATGGTTGGCTTGGCTGTGCATAATGTGTTTTACAGTGTTTGTATTGATCCGTGTGTTAAAAAAAGTTACCTTAAATTGGAGGATTAAATAGAACAGAGAAAGATATTGATGACCTAAGGCTTAGTACGCACAATTGTTTATAACTTTTGCACGATAGTAGTTAATTGCGCTGCAATAGCGCCGCAAGCCGCGCCGTATGGGCGTTGCGGTGCCTCGCCGCAAGAAACCGCGTCGCAATAGCGAACATTGCGATCGCATTTGCAGCCATAGTGCTGTCATAAGGCAAAATGTCAATTTTGTCCTAAATTTAAATGTGTAACAGATAAAATTTAAGGGTTTTTTAGTCTATCTGCGTCTGTCTTTGTCACTTTTGCTATCTCTTCCTTTAAAAAATGTTTACTTTTGTTATTATTTCTGTTATATATCTATTCCGCTATTTCCGCAACCGCAACCCGCTATAACGCTATAGCGTTTTTCGGGGTAGGCTGCGACATGCCGCAATCCGCATTTGATAACTATGTTTTGCACAAGATTGAGACTGAAGAATTGTCCTTCTTTTAAAAAATGTAGTGGATCACCTAGAGATGACAAAGATCAGATTCGTGATTTGGATTCTGCCCCTGAAATTCGTGATGTATTTGGTGATTTTGACGATGAAGAAGAGGAGGATATGGGGTATGCAGTTCAGCAGGACATTGAACAAGATTCAAATGTGAGTGTCTGGAGTTAATAGTTGCTTATATTTCAATTATTTGTCAATTGCCCAAAATTTAAGAATTAATTGTATAAGTGATCTCCTGCCTTAGAGATATCCTGTGGAGGAGGAAGGAAGTTATGGAAAGAGCCTGAGACAAGAGGATATACTTGCTGATGAAGATCCTCAGTATGAATCCGATGAGGGAAACTTTGAGATAAAAACTAAAGAGAAGCCACTTGGGCCCCCGTTAGAGTTAGAGGTTCCGTTACGACCACCTCCAGCTCTTCCAGAAAAGGTCTACCTCTAATTAATATGTTTGTTTATTTGGGTGGGAAGCCTGTGTTTTACATTTTACTTTCAAATTAGCTTTAACTCAGGGTAGCTGCACAATTCATGTAATTGCTATTCTTCTTTTGTGCAGTTTACATCTTTATGATTTAGAAGTTGGTGTGTGTAGTGTGCCTGAGAGAATGTCCGGATTTGAAATATTTGAAGGAACGTATCTTTTAGGACAGTTTATTGATAACTTCCTGATGTCATGGCTGGTGGAATGTTGATAATGGACGGGAATTAAAAATATCATATTATGATATCATGGTCATGACGAATGAATTTTATTATGTGGTATCACTTCAGAGGATCTTATCTATAATTGAAACGCCTTGTATAAGATGCTGTTCATTCTCGTAAGATATGTTGAATTTCGATATCCATCTACTCACTTTTTTATCTCTCTCTGTCTCTCTTTTTTGTGACAGATGAACATGATTAAAGTTTCTAATATTATGGGTGTTGATCCAAAACCATTTGATCCTAAAACATACGTGGAAGAGGATACCTTTGTAACTGATGAATCTGGAGCTAAGAAACGCATACGCTTGGAGAACAATATTGTGCGCTGGAGGACTGTTAGAAATCCTGATGGCACAACATCTGTAAGTAATTGTATACTATTGCAGTTTCTTTTGCATGCTACCTTGGTCACCCATTTTTAATTAACTCTCAAGGATTGGAGATGAAGGGACATGCTGATATTCTTGTGCATTAACTTCTTTTTGCCTTCTATTACATCCTTGGTATTCCTTTCTACTACCTTTACGCTTTTAGTCATGTTTTGAAAAATTGATATTGAATATCTGTTATTGTAGTGTGAAAGCAATGCTCGCTTTGTGAGGTGGTCTGATGGCAGTGTGCAGTTATTAATTGGAAATGAAGTTCTTGATATATCAGTGCAAGATGCACAGCATGATCAAGCACATCTTTTCCTTAGACATGGAAAGGTGATTTTTTTATTCCCATAGGCTTTTTCTATGAATCATTGTTTCCCCTCATTGGACTATGTGTCCATGCTTACAGGGAATCCTTCAATCACAAGGAAGGCTATTAAGGAAAATGAGGTTTATGCCATCTTCCTTGTCATCAAATTCTCATCGGCTGCTGACTGCTCTTGTTGACTCAAGGCATAAGAAGGTTTATAAGGTTAAAAACTGCATTACTGACATTGACCCTGAGAGGGAAAAAGAGGAAAAAGAGAAGGTATAATCAATTTTACAAATTAGTCACATGCTTATTTTGTGTCTCTTGGATACAATTATCAAATTTTCCAATCATTTTTACAGGCTGAAAGTCAAACAATCAGGGCTAATGTACTTCTTAACCGTAAGCGTGAAAAAGTAAACCGGAAATATACTCCAGCTATGGAGAGGAGGCGTCAACTTTCCCCTGGGTTTTTGGAGGATGCTTTGGATGAAGTATAATTTTAGAATTTATTTCCTCTCCAGACATTGTTGTCTTTATTTGCATAAGTATTGGCTGAAATCTTCTATAAGCATGTCTGCTTACTTAAACCGTGTTAGCTCCATTGATTATCCATGTTCCTTTCCTTCAGGATGATGAAACAGATTATTATGATTCTCGTCGTTCTCAGCGCCGCTTTGAGGAAGATTTGGAAGTGGAAGCCCGAGCTGAGAAACGAATTATGAATGCTAAAAAGGTATTATTGTTCAGTCTCCAGAAATTTGTACATTTTTTATCACGTTTTTGTATTTATCATTAATGAGGGTTATTTTCTGGAATTTCAGTCACAGGGACCCAAAGATATCCCTCGTAAGTCATCCTTCCCACCTGCTAAATCCTCCCGGCACCCAATGGGTTACCTAGATGATGAGAGAGAGGAGTCTGAGTATGAAACTGATGATGACGAAGATGAGAGGCCTCCTTCACGTAAGAGGGATGAGGATACTGAACCAGAGTATGAGGATGAGGAAGAAGAGGAAGGGGAACACTATGAAGAAGCAGCACAAGTTAATGATGCATCAGATGAGGAGGAAGAGGAGGTATTAATTATTTTATAAGAAAATAGGTTCATAGAGATTTATTTGTATTTAGTTTCACAGCTGTGGCTGAAATCCTACAAGAGACTGCTGAAGTAAAACATGGTGAATTATATACATTATCTTGATTTAACTTAAAAAGTGTTTCCTGAAGAAACTGGAGGCCTTTGTTTGGGAGCTTGAGACTCTTAACAGAGATTTGGATCCTTATATGTGTCTTGATTCATATTAGAAACTTTGGAAGGAAAATGCTGATTTAAATTAATTAATCATTAATGTTGCATTTGCATCAATTTATTGAGTATTCTTTTTTTTTTTTTTTTTTTGGGGGGGGGGGGGGTGTTAGTGATTCCCACATTCAGTGAGAGTTGTACATATCTGTAGGGCTACAACCTACCGCCTGCCCTATATTTTGTAATTGTGTGTTATAAATTAAGGTGGAAAATAAGGATGATAACAATCGATTGCTGTGGTTTTAATATTCTTTCGGTGTTTTGTTGCAGGAACCAAAGCTAAAGGGTAAGGAGGTTAGAGGCAGTGTCAAAAGGAAGGGATTTGAATCTGATGAGGACTCTCCTCCAAGGAAATCAACAGCCCATCATCGGCGAATGGCAGTTGTTTTTGATAGTGATGACGAATGAATTTCCTTAAGCCAGATTTTCATGGTGAGTACCCTTAACCTAAATGTAGAACATGAGTATGATTTATTTATTTATATTTTCTTTGCCATGAGATGGGAGCCATATGTTTTTTGCTGGCAAAAAAGTAGTGTTCATCTTTTTGCCACTTCCCCCTCATCTCCCCGTATCTCTTTGCATGTTTATTATTGGATGGTAAATTATATTTTGCTATTTTAAAATACTATCTGAATGGTCCTTGCCATCATATTTTCTCTTATAAGGTTTATTTTATTTGACAGAAAAGAAAGATTTTTGAGTATGAATTTTGTTTTGCTGCTACAGGGAAGTCATCCACTTTTTTTTGTTTTTTAAATTCAGGATCTCGCAATTGGAATTGGAAGGAATGATGTGGATACAGTGCATCTAACAGATGCAGCAAAAGCGGAGATGGGTTTTTTTTTTTTTTTTTTTTTTTATAGTTAAAACTTTAATGTTTCATCCTTATACATAAAGAAGAGTCTGGCACACACAATCTCCATTATTGATTGTATATTTGTCTTGCTAATGGTGAAGATAATCAGTGTAGATAAGTATATTTTCTATATTTTCTTTTCAAAAATCTTTCCCCCAGGGGAAGTTAATGGTGGAACCAGTGCTAGCTCAGGAACTCCTCCTCTTAGTCCTTCTTTGCAGCATTATATAGTATTAGCATGTTATGATTTTTTAAACGCTAAAAAATATCAATTTGAAGAAGCTTTTAAAAATTCAGCTTCTAAAAAAAGAACAAAAACTGAAATTTTCATACGTATATTTTCAAAAGCAATGGCCAAACTTTTTAAGTTGCAAGGTTTTAAAACAATTGAAAGTGCATGCAAACTTTTGTGAAAATGAAGGCTAATATTAGAGGAGATAAGTAATCCTTATTATTTATATCATACCTGCTCGAAGGGGGAAAAAGTATTTACTTCTGTTTGTAATATGAGAATGCCGCCAAATGTAATATTATTTTTATTATGGGGAAAATATCAAGTATAATTTATTCTATAGAATCATCTTGTCACGGGGTAATTTAAGTTGTTCCGTAGAAAATTGTAATGAGATTTTTTGGTAAAAAATAAAGGGATAGGATATTGTGACACCCAAGTTATGTTACACCCATGTGACACCCAGTCAATCTCACCGTTAGATCGCTTATGTTGATCCGACGATTATATTTATTTCCATCTTTGTATGGTCATGATTTCCCAAATTTAAAGTGAAAGCATTAAATATGGGAAATCATAACCATACAAATGTAGAAATAAATATAAAATATTAAATTTGGGAAATCATGACCATACAAAGATGGAAATAAATATAACCGTTGGATCAACATAAGCGATCTAACGGTGAGATTGACTGAGTGTCACATAGGTGTAACATAACTTGGGTGTCACAGTATCCTATCCCAAAAATAAAAAGATGTCACTATAATGGAGAAACATTTTTCAAACATAACAAAAATGCAATGCTCCTGATACATAAAGGGAAATCAGATTAAGTTAATGTAAATTATAAACACTTCTATTCATCATCAAGCATAGATCTTATGGTGCCTATTTTTTTTTTTTTTTTTTTTTGGTGAATATCGTATGGTGCTTTGTTTTCTTCCTAAAAACGGTGAGTCGGTGACAACTCCTGCAACTTCTTTGAACATATGGTGGTAGCTAAATAAACCAGCGTAATCAACACTAATCAAGTTTATGAGTAGCAATTATTAAGTACTCTTTGACACATTTTGAGGCAATCTTAAATACAGAAAATACATACTTATCGCATGATTGTGTTAGATATCCAAAATTCCAAAGATTTCTCATGAACCAGCAAAATCAGACATGCTACATCTTGCTGTCGCCACCACCACCAACATTCCGGAAATTAAGTGCATGGATGGAATCATGGAAAGTTGTGAGTGAATTCCGTGAGTCAATACTTTCGGCAATCATCATGACTTGTGAGTCTGTGATGCAAGGTTGAACAATACAAATTCCAGATATGAAGTATCCGGTCGTCTTGCTTATACTGTCTTAGTATGATAACATTCAATTTTATTGGGGAGTAGGAGCGGCCTCTACCTCTACGACTGCAGGTGATCCTGTATGTGGGATGCTTATTGCTAGGTTGTAGCATGTGCATGTCCTCGCCATTGGCTATTAGGGTGTGTTTGGTACAGGAGAAATTTTTTGGTGACCGGGAATCATGATTAATGAGAATTCAGTAGAAATTGAGTTTACTTGGAATCTTACGAAAGATTGTTTGGTTCGCCAAAATATTACCGGGAATATTGGGTAAAAATTACTGATTCCATATTTGGTTTAGAACGAAATATGACTTGGAATATGAGGTTATTTTACAAAAATAACCCCAAACTATTTTTACTTTTGTAATTGATAGATTGAGTCTAGATTTTTATGTGTATTGAGATATTTTTGTCTCAAAATTTATTGTTGTGCTTTCCCTTTACTTGGTATTCTGATTGGTATTCCGAATTACCATATTATTTTTGGTAATCTGAATAGTGACTTTTCTTTATAAATCAAATTACCGGTAATCCTTGGATATCCGGGAATCGTAATTTATTCCTTCTACCAAACGTGTTAATTACATTTACCAAAGAAGAATTACCAGTAATCCTCTCCAAAAACTTGAACCAAACACCCCCTTAAGGAGATTATAAAATTCTGAGCTACTCATGTAATGTACCATAATGAATTGAACAGCTGATGCAGTGTGTCAGAATATCTGTGAGATTACTAAGGTACACAGGATGACCGTGTTTCCTTACTGTAGATAGTCATTGGACCTATTGAACTTTTCACCGGATGAGTCTTTATTCCCGCGTGTGATGAGTTTAGATTAAAAAAAAAATCTAAATATTACCAAGAATAATTAAATCACATCTAAAAGTAACATAAATAACTCGTATGCTTTCTCGGAAACAAGATATTATATATTACATTATATTATAATTTTTCTTATTATCATTATTAATTTATTAAAGGTCGTTATTTATCAGATTTAATTTTAATATACTGTTAATTTAAATATTTTGCATTCATTCACTCATGCATTGCCACCTTACTAAAAAAAATATCACTTTTGCAACAACTACCTCAAAAATTAACTTTGAGGACATTCTATAATTTTGGGAATAAACGAGAGAAACTTGATATATAACTGTTACTAGTCAATCATAAATAGTTGTATTGTGAATATACATTGTTATTATATATGTGCTTACGTCATTTAATTTCAATGGAAATATAAGAAGAAAATGTCAATTAATTTTTAATTTTAGTAATAATTACTTAATATTTTTTTCAACATATTTATTATATTAATCTTTTTCGATACTATTGAACCGTATAATGATATCTCAAGGGTATGCGCTCTGAGATATCCTAGAAATAGGTATCTTGGTTGGTTTATAACCAACACTCCAATCACTGCGCACAAGCAATAGACTTATAGCCAAGACGTGAATGTGTGCATAGTGTTGGTAGTAATCGTAAATAGATTAAAAGTGTGTACCTGAGGTCTTTAGCTTTTTATTTATAGGGGTTACCTTTTGGGCTTGGGCTGTCAAGATCTCTCATTTGATGTAGGATTCAACCTCTAGTTTGTAGGGATAAGGGCCTTATCCCTTTACCTCTATCATATCTCGCTGTTGAAGTAGATATGTCCTTATCCTTTGAGGGATAGGTGGGATATATGGTTAAGATATAGAGATATTCCATAACAGTTGCCTCCCAGCTCAGTAGATCCGAGGTTCGGATTGCCAAGATGAATAGTTTTTTTCTCAATCTCGGTCTTTCTGAGATGTTATGATCTTTATGTTGTCAGAGCTCGAATTATAAGCTACGATGTGGAGGTTCTAGGGCTCGTCAATAGCCACGTCAGGTCATCTTTATATGAAGTCAACCTGTTTCTTAGCTTTCATTGTAGACCTCGACTTAGGGGTTTTCTTTATCCGAGTTCGACATTAAGCATATGTAACTTTTTGGCCATTTTGATTTCAATGTCAGTATATACTTCAAGGATAAGGTCGGACTTGACCTACATCACATAAGGATGACCTTTCATATCCGTGCCAGGCTTGACGGTTATGCAGGTCCACACGTCATTTTCCTATTAGCGGTTCGTGCACCGTCCCTCTTTTTGCATGCCATGATTGCCTTCATTAAATGCGTGTTTGAGGGAATTACGAACTTGCCCTTGACCTTTCGTCTCTGCATTGGCCTTTGGCTTTCCCGCCTTGTACCTCTATATATTTTCGTCTCAGAGGGCATTTTCTATTTTTGCTCCCCTCGGTGTTTAGCTCCTTACGAATCCTGAAGCTTCTTGAGCATTCGTCCAGTTCCATTGCGTTTCCTCTCTTTTCACTTATACACCTACCTTCCAGACACCCTTTTTTTGTGCATTTCATTATTTTGCATCTTCGAATGTTTGGTGATGGGGGTTTTATGGTTTGAGATTTATATTTTAGAACTTCATCTAGTGTTCATTTTGTTTGAGTGCTTATGAAAGTGATTCTGGAGTTTGGGTTTGTTTCTAGGTGTTACTCATACCTCCAAGCCCTTCATTTTTCATTCCTTTCTTAATTTCAAAATTTCAGGATTATTTCCTTCTTAGTTTTCGCATTTTTTGAACCATAAATGACCACTCCAGCATTCGGGTCTGGTTCTAATCCAAGACGAGATGGAGATGAGGATGAGGCTAATAAGGGAAAAGATTTGAAGGACCAAATTGACGGTGAGGATTACATCGAGGAGGAGACGACACAATTACTTTTGCATAGTTACCGAGGTGGGCATAGTAAGCGAAGGGCAGTGTCTTCTGTTCGGGGAAGAGGACGTGTCATGTCGGCTGACAGTCATTAGAGAGGACGTGCTAGGTCAGTTAGTGTTCGTCAGATTCAACCTCTACTTCCTTACAAGCCAGCCTTAGCACCGTGCTCCACTGCCGACTCCTCTACTGTCTTGAAGGTTGGTGAAGGTTCTCATGTTCTGACCTTGGGAGTCACGGTTTCCAAAGAATCTAATTTTGATCCTAGTCCGAGCTCCAGATCGATTCTGGATCGGATTCCCCCTTTAGACCTCGGTAGTAGTTCATCCTCTTCTTTTTTCTCTGACTTTGAGTTTCTCTGACCTTTTGTTGTTACATCCATTGGAGTTCCTTATATAAACTCAGATCAATCTTCACTTATCGTTCTTAGTGATTGTGCTTTCTCTTCTTCTATTTCGGATTTAGATCTCCACAGGTTCGATCTCAACCAATAAGGTTTGAGTCCCTTTTATTTGTTTTTATGTTGATTCCTACCCTTCTTGTTCAAGGGCATTTATGGCGGGTTCTTTAGGCATGTTGAAGTCAGTACTCCTGATTGGGTTTCATTAGAGATTCTCCAATTGCAATCTTGTATGTTAGCTGAAGAGGTTGCCCAACTTCCCGTTGGTAACACTGTCGGGGTGGATCTTCTTCCACCTGGTGATATTCCAGTTTGTGCGGGCTCAAGCAAAGATGAGCCTCATTTTTTCTTATTTTACCGGGACTTGATTACCAAAATAAGAGTTCGGTTTCCTTTTTCTGATTTCCAATTAGCCGTTTTGCGAAGGCTTCAGGTTGCTCCTTCCTAACTTCATCCGAATTCACGGGCCTTCGTTCGGAGTTTCGAGCAGGTGTCCTCTTACCTCAATCTCCCTTGTACAGTTACTCTCTTCTTCTATGTGTTTAATGTATATACATCTCGGTCGAGAGCCGAGGCAAAAGAGAGAAAAGGTTGGTTTACCATTCAAAGTGCTCCAGATTGCAGTATCTTTATTCCCTTTACCCAGTCCTTCAAAGGCTTCAAGGATTCTTATTTTAAAGTATCCGTCCGCCCTGGTTTTCATCCTTGGTTTGCTGTTGACATGCTAGAGGATGGAAACTTTTCATCTCGGTTTGAGCTCTATTGGACCTAGAATCATAACAACAAGCGTCCCAAGGATTATACCACTCGCGAGTCTTCCCTTTCTGCTGCAAAAAGACTGGCTTCTACTGTTTTGATAGGTTATGCCAAAGAGTTTGGTATTATTGACCTCAGTCGCATAGTAGATATGTTCGGAGATGACCTGCTCTTAGAACTTGGTATGTGACCTTGGTTATACCGGGTTGTAAATATTTTCTTTATATTAAAAATATTTTCTAACATTTGTTCCTTTTTGGCAGTTAGCATGACGAGTTCCAGCTATAAGAGGTACTTGTCCAAGAAGAAAAATTCTTATAAGGGGAAATCAGCTGAGCTCGAACCTATTAATGAGGCTATGAAGAAGAGGTGACTTGATTTAGGTGGCAGTTCCGAGGCTATCATTATCCCCACTGCTTTCGCAGCTCAAGTCGCCTCGCAATTACCTCTCCTCCCTCTCCTCCAAACGCCCCCTTTGGGGATGCAGTATTTGTGGAGCCTGGGAAATTATGGAGAGTAGGATTTTTAGACCGTCTTCGGGCTACTTTGAAACCTCATTCGCAACTGATAGGGCGTTCTCCTCTTAATGCTGATGTCCGGGCTATGCTAGCGTGGATGGAAGAGGAGTCATTGAAGACGACCTCTTTAATTCAATGTTTCCAGGATCTCCACCAAAGACTTGACTTGTCGGGTGCTTCCAACTATGCCCTTTTTGTCAAGGTGGATGAGCTTTCCACTCTGAAGGAGGAGCTTTCAAAGTCAAAGTTTTGGAAGCTAAGGTGAAGGATCTCAAGTCCAAACTAGCCAAGTCTGAAGATGACCTGAAAGTTGCCAACCTTACCATGAAGGCTCTTATCAAAGAAAAAGAGGGCTCCCTGAAAGCTTTGGCAGACAAGGAGGCTCAATTGGAGAAGGCTCAAGCCGACTTCGAAGAAGCTCGGGCTACGGTGGAGAGCAAAGTCATCCAATCCTTTGAGAACGCTATAGAGCAAGCTCAGGTTTTAAACCCAGGTCTTATTACTGATGGGATGGATGTCTCCTATGGTGTGAATGATGACATTATCGTTCCTGGGACCCCGGACTCCGAAACTCCATGACTCCATAAGATGAGGGCGAGGTTGGAGCCAATGATGGAACTTTCCCATTAATGCTGAATGAAGGATCGGTATGCCGACTTTAAGATGTAATTTTTTTGCCCGGGGGACTTGTGTCCCCTTTTTGGGTTTGTATAAACATTGTCGTTTTTATTTCGGCCTTTTTAAATTTAATTCAACAATTTTACTTTGCCTTTTATACCTTTCGAGCTTATTGCTTTTATTCGATTGTGGGTTTGAGATCCCATTTATAAAGTGTTGCGTCATAATGGAGGACTTATAGTTTCATCCCATTTTTGCGCTCGAGAGTTAGCAATGATCGAGCTTACGAGCTCATTTTATTTGCATAGAAATAAATCTTGTTTATGGATTGAGCTTGAAGGCTCGTTTTATTTACATAGAAATAAATCTTATCCATCAACTGAGCTCGAAGGCTCATTTTATTTGCATAGAAATAAGATCTTGTTTAACGACTGAGCTCAAAGGCTCGTCTTATTTGCATAGAAATAAATCTGATTCACTGACTAAGCTCGAAGGCTAGTCTTATTTGCATAGAAATAAATCCTATTTACTGACTGAGCTCGAAGGCTCGTCTTATTTGTAGAGAAATAAATCCTATCTATGGATTCTTGGAGCTTCAACTTCACGCTCAGCTAAGTAAGCTTTGAGCTTGTCTGCGTTCCAAGTTCTCTTGATGGGCTTCTTAGAGATCTTCTCCAAAATATAGGCTTATTTTCCTAGATTTTCTTTAACTCTGTAGGGGCCTTCCCAATTTGTAGCGAGCTTCCCATCTCTGGCATTCTTGTTGTCGATGTGTGCTCTTCTTAGTACTAGGTCGCCTTTCTAGAAAGACCGAGGTCTGGCCTTCTTGTTATATCTTGCTGACACGAGGCATTTTTCCATCATATCCTTGTACCTGGCATTTTCCATATTTTTATGAAACAGGTCAAGCTCTACGGTTAAAGCTTCGTTGTTTTCCTTCTCACTTCCTTGTAGTCTTTGCATCCTTCTCCAAGATGGTTCTCCGATATCGACCGGGATCATTGCCTCGCAACCATGACCAACTTGAACAGGGTTTCCTCTGTAGAGGTTTGGGTACTTGTTCTATATGACCATAAGACGAGGTGTAACTGTTATACCCAATTCCATTTTCCATCAAACATTCTCTTTTTTAGTCCATCCACAATCACCTTATTTGCAGCCTCGGCCTACCCATTAGTTTGGGGGTGTTCTACAGAGTCGAAACGGTGTTTGACCTTGTATTCATACATAAGTTCTTGGAACTTTTTATCAACAAATTGAGTTCCATTGTCTGTGATGATCTCGGCTGGGATTCTAAATTGGCTCACCATTCCTTTCAAGAACTTTTGCACTCTGGCTGAGGTTATGGCAGTGAGGGGTTTAGCTTCTATCCATTTAGTGAAGTAATCTACGGCTATTATTAAGCAACGGAGTTGTCCCTTCGCAGCAGTGAAAAGACCTAAGAGGTCCATCTCCTACTTATAGAATGACCAAGGTGCCGAGATACTTTGGAGCTTCTCTGGGGGAGCATGATGGACATGTGCATGTCTTTGGCATTGGTCGTATTTCTTTACATGCTTTTTGGCATCGGCCTCCATTGTGGGCCAGTAGTATCCAGCTCGTAACGCTTTTTGAGCTAATGATTTGCCTCTTAAGTGATGTCCATTGATGCCTTTGTGGATCTCGACCAAAATATAATCTGCCTCGTTCGGATCCAGACACTTCAGCATTGGAGTGTAAAATCCTTTCTTATATAGTTGTCCTTCGAGCACGGTGTAACTTGCCAACTTTTTGACCAATTTCTTGGCCTCCAAGACCTCGTCTGGGAGTGTTCTCTTTCCTAGGTATGCCACTATGGGCTTTCTCCAATCTTCTCCATTGGTGATCAACATGATGCAGCTCGGTTCTGGGATACTCTGTTGGATCACGGTTCTGTGATTTCCTGAGCTCTTGGTATGTGTGAGCTTTGACAATATGTCAGCTCTAGTGTTCTCATTTATTGGAATGTATTGAACTATTGCTTCGTCGAACTCGACCAACATTTCCTTGACTTTGCTGAGATACTTCATTATGAGAAGGCCTTTGCCTTGGTATTTCCCCTCAACATGGAAAGTCACGAGTTGGGGGTCACTAAGAATTTTGATTCTTTTAGCTCCGTGTTCCCTTGCCTGCACTAGCCCTGCCAGGAAAGCTTCATACTCGGCTTGGTTGTTCGAAGTTTGGAACTCGAGGTGTAACGACTGTTCGATGGGTATTCCTTGAGGGCTTTCAATTATCACCCCAACTCCACTTCCTTTAACGTTTGATGATCCATCTACGCAGATCGTCCATATATCGTTTGTTGGGCCAAGTTCTCTTTTGGTGGGAGCTAGTTCCATTATGAAATCGGGCAGAGCCTGCTACTTTATTGCTTGCCGAGGTTCATATGATATATCAAACTCTGAGATTTTCACTGCCCAATTTATCATTATTCCAGCCAAATCTGGCTTATGCAATACTTGCCGAATTGGCTGATTCGTTCTTACAATTATCCGATGTCCTTGAAAATAAGGTCAGAGTCTTCTTGCCGTGGTCAACAAGGTAAAGGAAACCTTTTCTAACCTTTGTATATGAGCTCTGGTCCTTGCAAGGTCCTACTAACAAAGTATATCGGTTGTTGCCTTTACTTGTCTCTCGTACTAGTATGGCACTAACTGCTTCTTCCCCCAAAGAAAGATATAGAATTAACGTCTCCCCTGGCTCCGGCTTTGACAACATGGGTGTGGTTGAGAGGCATTTCTTTATCTCATTGAAAGCCATCTTACATTCTTCTTCCCATCCAATTTCACCTTCCTTTTTTAAGAGTTTGAAGAAAGGAAGGGACTTGTAACAGCTCGTTATGTACCGGTATTGTTAACATTGATTATGATATTAGATGCAGTTACAATCACAGCAATTCATTTATAAAAATGCGAGTAAACTTTTTCCTTTTAATTACGCGAGCATTTAAAACAATAATAAATGTAATAAATAAAATCTGTGACCGTAACTGATAACTCTTTGCGGAATAAAAATTTAACATGCCTAGATACCATATAGCACTCCTCTCAAGTCACTAAGGGGTTCCCATAAATTCACTTAGCATAAATTTCACTTTTATGTTTTTTACCTATCCGAACATGGTTCGGTATTTTAATTACTACGGAAAATCTGCAAGCTGTGCGCTTATCATCTTTTAGTATGTTATTCTACACTTAATTATCTTTCTAAAAAGCTATCACACTAGTCATAAAGTTCTCGTTTGCTCCGGTTATCCCCATTTGAAGTTGGATAAGCAAATCTACCAGCCAACCTCAAACAGGGCTCTAAACAGCCTACACTCTCTCAGCGATTCTGAAAAATTCACTCAACCAATTGCTCTCAATTTTTTATACAATAAATTAGACACCCCAAGCTTCAATTTTACATATCATGCACCTAATTTGACAGAGAAACGAAGCAGGAATAAATTCCCCAAAAACTGCCAGAGACAGCCCATGTGCAGGGGCGTTTTGAGCAGTCTGTGCTCACTGGCTTCTACAGGACAGAGTGGTGATCTTTTGATTCTCAAATTTTGACACAAGGTAGTTGGTATCTCAAGCTTTACAATGATGTATGGCACGTCCATATTGGACCTTTGTGGAGGGAGCTATGCTCTCCTAAAGTTCACCCAAATTCTGCCAATTTCTAGAAATTTTGCCAGAGTCTCCTTTGTTTTTCCAACATATCCCACCTTTGAAGCTGTGTTATCTAACCTCCATTTGTACCTAATAAACATGGGTGGCTCTCAAGGACCAGCAATACCTTGGTGCTCTTACAATCTTTTGTAATTTATATCAATGAGTTCACTTTACAACTTAACAATTTCAATATCAATTCTTAAACCATTTCAATCACATTAATTCCTTTGCATGCATTTCTTTGACATAAAATATAAATCAAATCTTAGAATAGGCCTATTTTCCTTTCATCATATACATGCTTCAATATTACACAATGTCTCCAAATTACAAATTACAAACTTCTTTACAACTATTACAATTGCCCTTCAAATATACATAATAAATTCTCCAAAGTAAATCATGACAATAAAAGACTAAACTTAGACAAAATACATCATGAACAAAGATGACAACAATAATCTTGAATCACATGCATTGTTCATGACCTAAGTCTAGCCTAGGCCCAACGGCCACAAAATGCAAAACAAGCCTAAATCCAAGCTCATCCTACGGGCCTCTTGCCCGCCGCTCCTACACCACTGGCACTACCTAAAATAAAGTCCCCAAAACGGGGTGAGATATACGAATATATCTCAATAATCTAGAAGTTCTGGAGATTACTCCGTCCAATGGCTCACTTCGATGCATATCAATAATATAATACAACCTTTAAAACATGATAAAACAAGGGATTTAGTGAAATAGGGAAGCATAGGGAACAAAATACGATGAAGCTGGAATGGTCGATGCCAATACCACACAACATCCAGCCTAGTGGCCTCGGCACATAGCTTACGGGTTCCAAACCAAGGAAGTGCTCCCGGAACATCAACCAAGGCACCTTCCATCCATATATTGTTAGTATGTAGGTGTCCTAGAGACAATCTATTTTATCAGATGAACACTTTTTTTCTATTTAGTATTTCATGATTAATAAATTTGAGCAAACTTTATCTTTATCATATTTATGTCTCGCCAATATTTTATTGTTAATATGCATTTAAAGATAAAGACCCTAGAAATAGAACAGGTATTCACTCGGTGATCTATGATAGGGATCATGATCATGAGGACTCGAGGACACTGAATGTCTATTACCTAAAATCTGTTCCTGGTCTTGAATCACCAAGAAAGGGTATTGGTGATATCAATAAGACTAGTACGACATCATCTACTTGTATGGAGATACAAGGTAGGGACCTCATGGAATGCAGGCATGGTGATGTCGTGGGTGGATCTGTTGGAGAACAGATAACACTGAACTGACCCACCGAGAGACTCTACAAGGATTCATTATGGAGAGTATCATTGGATTTGCAAAGTCTCTCATCGTTTGGTAGTGCGGATCGTCCTAGACTTAAGGATGTCATCGAATACTATGTCCTAGAGTTATACTTTGACTGTACAACTCTATCCTCCTGAAAATGGGGAGAACAGTGTACTCTTGAGTATAACTCGAATACATGAGTATAGATGGACATGCCGAAAGGACTCACAATTCCCTATAAGGGATTAGCCGTTCACAAATACTGGCACAATATCCAAATCAAAAAGGTAGATCACTTGATCAACTCAATTAGTTCTGGGGCTACAGAGCATTGCTAGTGTATCATGTAGTCATTAAATGGATTGGGCCTTTTAAAAGAATTTAACTAGTTCAAGTTTATTTATATTAGTAACTAATTGGGCCTAATGGGTCACACACAAAGGTTATTCCTTATTGCATGTTATAGAAAGTTTGGGCCAATAATGAGTTGTTGGACTTTGTCAAGACTATGAGTCAAGTTGGGTTGGAGTAGGGACTCCAAACCCACTTGATCCATGCGCCCTTTTGGGGCATTAGTGTTGAAAGAGTTTTCTCCACTAATGGGCCCAAATATGATGGTAGGTCAAAGAGGCCTTGGGACATGAATCCTAGTAAGTCAAAGAGTTGACTTGACCAAAATAAAGTTTGGGCAAATTTGAAATTTGAATTTTTGAAATTTGAAATTTGAATTTGAAATTTGAAATTTGAATTTGAAATTCGAAATTCGAATTTTTGAATTTTGAATTTTGAATTTTGAATTTCGAATTACGAACTGGGATAAGATTGAATTTATATTTGAGTTTAAATTTCAAAATGGAATTTGAAATTTGAATTTGAAATTTAAATTCTATGAGGTTAGGTTGTTTAGGATAATTTAAATAATCTTAGGATAATTTAAATTATTTAAAAGAATTATCCAATAGAGATTGGATGAAGATTCTCTCAACTGCTCTTTCATTTGAATTCTGAATTCAAATGAACACTATTGCAACAAACTTTCTGAGGGAAGAAGAAGGAAAAAAGGGCGCCTATGTGGAGAGAGATCCTGACTGGATTCTACATCAGATTTCATTGAATAAATAGATATGATCCATGCTTGAATTTTGAATTCAAGTCATGAAGCTTCCAAAGGCTCCCAACAGTCTAGTCTGTTATGAAGTGAGAGGATCAAGCAAAGATAGATCATCTCATCATTCAATATGTGCGCCTAACATAGTGGAGCTGATGTAGTTGATCAGAATCAGAAAAACAGATGCTCCCTCTCTCCTCTTAGGGTTCTAGGAAAAGTTCCAACCTTTCTCCTTCCATCTCTTTGCTTGCACCATCACCTAACCTCAAGACACCATTACAGTCTTGAGAAAAATAATCCCAACACTTGGTAGCCTCTTCCTTACATGCGCCTAGCCAGCCACCGAGGAAAAGGAGG